CAATTAAAGCAGCAGAATGAAACTGGTGGGTTAGTATGTTCTGTATGTATGTAGAATCAGTATAGCATGTAAAGCATTTTTTTCCAAGAACTTCACTTCTAGTCATAAAAATGCTTTTTAAACTAAAAGCTTTCTTCTGCTCAGTAGGATGTGATTTGTTGGAAGTGTATGTTGACCTGGAACCAACAAGGAGATGACTAAGTAGGAGGAAAATGGTTTTAACATGCCTCTGCTTTGCCAAGAAATATGGAAACAATAACAGATTTGTCAAGTCTGTGGGTCAGCTAGCCTTGTAGTGATATATGATATTTCTCTATGCATGACATACTTGGTGTATTGGGTTATTTTTTTCTAAAGCACCATTTAGGAGCTGAAATGTGAATCTTTCTTTGTCCCAGTTGCTGTTTATCACCTTCATGGGCATGCTGTTTGTTTATCAGATGTATCCAGAGTAGGTGGGAGATCTTGACTTCTCTCCATCGTGGCAGGCACGTAACATGGTCTGTCTTCGTATTTGTTTTATGGTGTAATTTGATAGCCAAGACTGTGCATGTTTGGCAGTTGCCAAAGCATTTTTGGTCCATGCGCTAAAGCTCTACAGTAATCCTTCTCCTGTTTCCCCATTTTTGTTTTCCCCAAGCCACGACATCTTCCATGCCGCCTTTCCTTATCATGCTGGGGTATGTCGCTTCACTCATGTGCTAAGCGGTCTCTTCTCGAGGTTTCAAATGGTGCAAAGATGATTCCTGCTGTGCCTCCTTCTTTGGAAGAGAACCAACAGCTTGAAAAATGAGTATTCAATTTAATAAGAAATTAAAACTTCAGGTGCTGTTTTCTTCCCATTTAAGAGCAGAACCGTGCTCATGGGGGGTGGGGAGTAATAATCACACAGACAAAATCAGAGGAACACCCTTTCCTCAGTGAAGAGGTAGTAGCTCAGCAGTTAGTTGCTCTGAGATGTGCTGGTGATCAGGTTCAAGTCTGGCTGTTTTGGGAGTAAGCCTGAGCCACTCGGTTACCTCTGTCTCTCCCCCTTTTGGCACTTGTAAGAGTGACCTAATAAATGTTTTGTTGCAACAGATATGATCTCATATCCTTTTACAAACCCTGGATAGACCAGTCACTGAGGGATGGCCCCGTTCAGTGGAGAGTTCAAAGTGTGGGACAAGGCTTTAAGAAGGAAGCAGTGATTTTCCAAGAGGTGGGTTGTTTAATAATACCTGGAGGTTCACAGCGCTGGCCATCTCTCTGCTCTAAAAATCAAGCTTTCTCAGTGCTCAATTGCTAGAGGCTTTTAGATATCTCCTCAACTTTCTGCTAGTATAGGAACAAAGGATACCAGCAACACCCTTTTAAACCCCCCCTACCCTTTTCTGTGTCTCACTGATTCTGGTTCAGGGTTTTTCCTGTGATCTCAAGTTTTTCATGGGTATAGGGAAGTGTGCTGCTGTCTCTTAAGTGCCCACAGAAGAGGTACTGCGTTAAACCTGTTTGGGCTTACTGCCTGCTGCTGCGGAGATGAGGAAGGGAAGAGATCTGGATTCCGTGGCACGGGGGGGGTCCTTTCCAGCCCTGCATCTCTCTGTTTCTACTCCCTGGGCTTCCCTGGTAAAACCTTTCAGGGATCTGAGTGGTTGCAGTCCCTCTTCCATGAAGTTTCAAGATGACTTATTGTTGCCATGTGCTCTTCTGGAGCAAAGCTACTGATTTGCTAAAAAATAAAGTGCAGCAAATCAATAAAACCATAGAATCTTAGTGGTTTGGGACAGAAGGGATGTTTAAAGATGATCTAGTCCAACCTCCGTGCCATGGGCAGGGACACCTTCCACTAGACCAGGTTGCTCAAAGCCCCATCCAGCCTGGCCCTGAACACTTCCAGGAATGGGGCATCCACAGCTTCTCTGGGCAACCTGTTCCAGTGTCTTGCCACCCCCATGGTAAAAAATGTCTTCCTCATGTCCAATCTACACCTACCGTCTTTCAGTTTAAAACGGTTGCCCCTTGTCCTGTCACTACGGGCCCTGGTAAGAAGTCTGTCTTTTTTACAAGCCCCCTTAAGTATGGAAAGGCCACAGTGAGGTGTCCCTGGACCCTTCTCTTCCCCAGGCTGAACAACCCCAACCCTCCCAGCCTTTCTTCACAGGGGAGGTGCTCCAGCCCTCTGACCATTTTCGTGCCCTCCTCTGGACTCGCTCTAACAAGTCCATGTCTGTCTTGTGCTGGGGACCCCAGAGCTGGACGCAGAACTGCAGGTGGGGTCTCACCAGAGCGGTAGAGGGGGGTGTTAATGTTAAGAAAATGTTAAGATTTATAGAGTGGGCAATAAGTAGTTACTGGGAACAACAAAAAATGGTGGGTCGACTTTTTGACAATGGGAATTTCTGCCAGGTGGATGGCTGCATGGCCTTTTTCATGCTGTGGTTTACTTTTTCTTTTCTTGCAAGTTGAAACTCGAAGCTGAATTGTTCTCTGGCATTGTCATCATGAGCCTAGAGGTCTTTGGAGAAGCTAATTCCTTTGGCTTCTCCCTACTGCATCACCCAAAATAATACCATAGTCTATCTTTAAGCAGCATATGCTGTTTGTTTTTTATCGCTACTCCAAACATTTGTACTGGATTGTATTTCCATCTCTGCCTTCTTATGAAGGAATTCCAGCTGAACAGTTAACGTCTCCCTTCACTTGCGCTTGTGTTTTTCTGGATAGTGAATTAGAGGCTCCTTACAGTTTATTAATTTTGCTTTTAGCATTATGTAACCTGTACAAGGTTATAAGTACATAATACAAGTTTGAGTAGCGTGTTCCTTTATAGCTCATTTTACAGTCCTTGGGCCTATTCTGCTTCAAAATTCTCATAAGCAGTGTAAGTTGGCCAAAATACACACTTATGTTAATTACGTCTCTTAAATAGAGTCTAATTTTCTTCCTCCTCTTGAAGTTGGTGAGAGATTAGTAATAAAAGAAAATTAGTTGGTTGATAACATCATGTATTTGATAGGTGCAGAAACAGGATAACTGCCTCAGGTGTATGGTGAACTCTTCATTCCTATGTGAACATTCAACATACAAAAAGTTGACAACATTATTTGAACATTTATCCTGTCAAAATAATTTTATAGAAGATTGGAATTAACAAACTGAGGAAGCACTAGAACATAATGTACACATTTAAGAAAAGTCCTATTTCTTTCAGTGGGTTTGCTCCCATTAAAGTTTTGCTCTTCAGCTGAAAGTAGGCTTGAAAGATTTGCGATTTATATTGCTGGACCTAAGATTTTGTTTGAGATGATTCTTTTTAAAACATAAAAAAAAAAATTTGGCTATTGCTAATACAGGGGTTTGAGACTAAATAGTGAAGTGTCTATTTCCTCTGCTGACCTCTTGACTCACACAGCGCAACTGTAGTGGGCAACAAGTCAGTAAAACAAAATTATCTTTTTTTCCCCCCTTAAGATGAGGAAAGAAAAGGTTTTGTGCAAAGAGTAATTGAGAGCATCCTGAGAGAATAAAATGTTGAGTGTTGATGAAAAGTAAACCTACTTCACGGTATCTGATGAAGTTGCTGTCCTGGTTTTGTTTTCATTTCTGTCTGCAAATGTTTTCAAAGGTTTAACTTTCTCAAATTCATTAGATGCTTCTGACTTACATCTTGGTTTCTATCTTGTTCTTGTGTTTTGGCAAGAACTCGATGTCACCAGTTGGAGCTTCCAATAGGCATGAGGGCCATCCAAAATAGTTTCCATTTCCCACTGAGGTACATTCTTAGAAGAACTTTTCCAATCCAAATAACTGGCATTTATTACTTTTTAATTGCTTAGTGTGATACTTGCTTACATTTGCTGTTTTAATGTCTTTTCCTGTCTGTAAACTGAGAGTCCCAAAGGGCACATGCGTGCAGTCACTGAATTCAGTTTACATAGCTTGACGGATGTTTTGGGAAAAGCAGATTGTGTGTATGTGCTGGTTGTCACAGATGGAGTCCCAATAAGAAAAAAGTTGTGCTAATGCTGAAGGAAAATGAAATGAAAGTAAGTAAATGAAATAGCAAAAAAAGGGCGGCCTGAGTTTAGCATAATTTTTTCCAGCAGCTTTGGGGAAAGTATGGCACACGCATGCTTGAGCTCAGCAAAGGTTCTCAAGTTGTGCTATGTAGGCAACAAACAATGGGCAGGAGAAATTTCTCCGGACAATTTTGCTCCTCTGCATATTACCAGTGTCCCAATTTTAAGTCTAATACCCTTTTTTGGTGAGGTTTTTGTGAAACCTGTTCATGCAAGTAGGTAAGGATCTTAATTCCATATTAACAAAAAAAAAGAGAAGAAAGTATATTGCTAGTCTTTGAGATTGTAAAGAAAGATCTTAGAAGATGAAAGGGTTCTGAATCCTTAAAAAAGGCAAGGTAGGCAAAATGTGGACATTTCGCCCCTAGTAATTTAACTTAGGTGGGTCATTTTTTATTCAGGTTTATTTCGGGGCATCAGTGAATTTTTAGAGCTCTGGTTTTGACAGCATGATTCTAGTGAAAACAGTTTGAGTCCCATGCCCATATGGGAATGCAGATCTCAACTCCCTTCCCTTCTGGCATACATAAATGAGGAGGGGGTTCATTTTTTACCATTTAGGATTGTTTGTGGAGGAGAAGAAACAGGACTAGCTTTACACAGCGTATCGCTGAAAACCAAGCTGAGGTGCGTTAATGGACCTGCATTTAGAGTCTGTGTTTAAGTTCTTTCGGGGGGGGCTAAGCTGTATGGCGAACTGTTCTTTGCACTGCTATAAATCCTAAACATCCATAAATCTTCAGTCTGCACCCTTCCTACTTTTAGCCTTCACTGGACTGTTATGTTGCTGAAGTCTATTCAGTAGACTAAGATCCTGAATTAGTTTTTCATTACCCCTTATAAAGCTTTTTTCTGGGTTTGTTCTGCTGCCTCTCAGCTTGCAGCTGAACCAGTTCCGTGAAGAGTCAGATTAACTCTGGTCCTTCCCTTGCCTTGTAGGACTCCTCAGTGGGCAGACCTCTCCGACCAACACCAAACTGGAAAAGCTGGACCCCCAGCAGGTGCTGCAGCTGTGTCTCCGGTACCAAGATCATCTTCACCAGTGTGCAGAAGCAGTTGCCTTTGATCAGAACGCACTCGTGAAGCGGATCAAGGAGGTACTGCCTGCAGCGTGCCTGCTTCGGTGGGGAAGGGCTTGGGGCATCGGCTTGGCCATCGTGTGCTATGAATGCAGGTGCTTGCTGTAGATAGCCGTGGGTCACTTGCAGCGGTCAACTTCAGAGTAAACCCTGTAGAGAAACTTCGCGGGTCTGCACTTCAAGCAAAGTTTCCTGGCTTTCATTGTGGTTACTGTTAGGTGGTGTGTTTATTGGTTATAGATAGATATAGATATGGATATAGATTCCTGGCTGTAAACAGTGGCTGTTCCTCTGGTATGGCAAGTACTGCAAGTAACTGTTGAAGAAGTAAAAGATGACTGGAATTTTTAAAGGTAGCATTCCTTATTTCGGTCTGTATAGCATAGATTTTATTATGCCTCATGGTTAGGCTCTAATTAAGGAAAGAAATGGTTATCTTAATATCTATGGTTGGAGAAGGTAGTAGTTCTTCCTTTCTTCAGTGGGTTTGTAGAGCTAGACTTTGTTTTCAGAGCCCATAACGTGCTGTCTCTTCTCTGATCCATATGGCAAAAAGATCTTCCTGTGCTGCTGTTCTTATCACTAAACCATCACTTGAAAATCACTGATCTACTTAGATATTGAATGATACTGTTGGGGAGGAAATTAATTCCTGGGGTGAGCATCCTGCAATGGGATTGTCTTTTTCATGTGTAACTACTGATCTTGGAAGCAGTAGGATGGCTGACAGTTTTGGTTTTTTTTTTTTTTTTCATGTCAAGACAGACTGGCATGAGAGGAGATGCTGTTTGAGAATGTTCTCTCACATACTCCCAGATGTGTAGAAGAACTGGTGAATGCTGCATATGTCAAAAGTCTCTATGAGACCAAATACCTTTCAATGTCAAAAGAAAAATTTTTGAACAGGTGGTTAATTTTTATTCATGCAGTATAAACAATGACCTTGATTCGTTGTTGCTTTATTGGCTTAGAGTTAAGAAAATCCCACATGACAAAATGGATAATAAATTTGATTCATGGGCTGTTTTGAGAAGCTGCTGTCATCATGAAGTTGTAAGTCCAAAGTAACGTGGGAGCCATTAAAAAGGCCTTTTTACTTTGGTGTATCAAGATCTGAGGCCAGCTATTACACAAGATGTGAAGATATTTGCAGATGTTGGTGACTCAGATCACACAATCTCAGAAATGGGATTTAATTGCCAGCCTAATGACAGTGTAGTGCATTAATCCAAGCAGATTGTAATTCTTTTGGCTGTTAAAGTGTGAGAGGGAATATCGACATGATTTAAAGTCATGGTAGACACCACCAGTGCAATCTGCATTAGTTGTATTTGCCTCCTATAGGGCAAGTGGCAGAGTGCCTTTCAAATTAGCTATGGTGATGTTTTCTTCTAGTTTGTAAGGCTTATGGGTTTTTTTAACATAAAATAAATAGAATGATGATACTGATATTGTCACTAGCTTCTTTATTACAGACTCCTCTCTGACAAAGTAAAGAAGGAATGGGCGACTGTAACTCGGGCAACTGACAAGTCAGTTGGGTTGGTGGGTTTTTTTTGGTCACAACACTTAAGTAACTTCAGATGCTTTCAGTTCCTCTGCCAGATCTGGTGGGTTTTTACTGTTCATTTTCCTAATAATTTTTAAATGTTTTTCTTGCATTGGCTGTTCTGTGTGTGTGTGTTCTGGAGGAGCCGGGTGGGACCCACTCAAATCATTCTTTCCAAATTGTTTGGGCTCTCCTTGGTGCACTAAATTGAACCGCTGTTGACAGTTGTTGACAACGAGGGGTGCAGCTGAACTAGAGCAGGGTATGTCTCTCCTTACAAGTGTAGACAAAGGAAATCGCATTTGGCTGCACCCATTTGTCAGCAATGATTTAGTTCCGCCATGTAGACAAAGCTTTGACCGCTGCTAAAGAGTAAAAATGAAAGAGAAAATGAAGTGTATTGTGAAAAGCATAATGTGTGCATGAGCTGGACAGTAAATTCTTTTATCCTCATTTTGGTAGTCAGTATTTCCCTTTTCCTTTCTTTAACTCTGTAAGCATTGAAGTGTTTTCTTCCAATAACAGACTTATCAAGTGACTGATGCTTTTAGCTTTCCTAGAAAATGTTGGTAAGCTTCAGTCCCTGATTCCCTACCATTTGTCTGAGGTATGTTCACCTTTCAGACTGTCACTGACTGTACTCAGTGCAGTAATAGTCCTACTGTATAGTATGCTACAGTCGTACTGCCTGCAGCCAGGATTTTTTTTTTTAGTCTTTCCTTGACAAAATGTCCCAGGGCAAATATCTTTTGTGTGGCCAGAAAAAAAGTTTCCTGTTTTCTGGCAAAACTCAAAAGTACTGTTGTAAATTTATTGGTCCTCGATAACTCATAATTGACTATGGTGGTTTGTAAATTGGCACACAATCTGAATTAAAATGGGTCTGAATAGGAAAGAGAATAAGCTAAGGAAAACAGAAACATTGTATGACAGTAGTTACTGCAGATCTAAGTAGACCCATCTGTGCGTTCCTTACTTTGGGGACCAAACCAGTCTAGCTTTGCTCTCCATTCCATTTCCCAGTTTAGCCAGAATTTCTTTGCAGTGTGTTGGCTGGATCTGTATCTGCTCCTAAACGTAGAACCTGTGCAGCTTCCAGGTTGCTGTGACTGTTCTCTCTCAAGAAGAAATACATTTACCCAAGCATTTCCTTGAAGGGGAAAGAATTGAAGATGTGATTGAAGATGGTTGTCTCAACTGCCTCTCTTCAGCAGTTACACTTACTCATACCCGAACTGTTGGTTTTGGAAGGGATTGATTTTTATGACAATAGGCTTTGTCTTCACTGCCAAAAAAATAAAGGATGTGCTTGCATCTTTTTAGGGAAAAAAAATAACCACTATGCATTAAATATTATGTTTCATATTAATTTTTGGCAGCTGACTCACCATCTGTTGCAATACTGCATTAATTTCAGGACCACTGAAATATTTAGGATTCCTTTTAATTTTTTCTCCTTATCAGTTTGAAAAACAACAGAACAGCAATTTGGGATTTATGTATGTGTTAATCCAGGGCTATGGCATCTCACAAAATTTGACAGTTCTCAAGAAAAAAGCCTGTGTGCAGCATTTTCTGGGTAATTCATCTATACTTTGGTATTTTGTAGGATGAAAATTTTTAGATTATTGGATGAATCGCCACATTATTGACTTCCGGGGACATTCTGTTCAGATGGGTCTGGGAACAGGATCTAGTCTGTGTACTGATGTTATGTTGGACCCATGTGAGCTTGTTATATGTGTATGTTAGGAAAAAGGTGCATTTTTAAAACCCAGTAGATAGTGTGTTACAAAATGCTAGGGTATAAAAGGCGATTATACATAGTTAACAGGTTAAATTGATCTTGCCTGCACCTTGGAGCTTTTGCCACAAAATGTTTAATGATGGGGACAGAGTTGGTGATGTGCCTTAGGGAGAATGTGATTATTTCTTGTTTCTGTGGTGGGTTTAGGGTCCTAGCTGTAGACAGGAGGTCTTAACTTGCTGCATCCCACATCTGCATCTGCTATGACAGTGCTGTAGATCTGCATTATAATTAGTATGAAGTTTTAAGCAACTCCAGTTGCTGTTGGGTTTGAGACCTGCATGTGATTTCTTCGCCAGGAGTGCCTGCCTCGGTTTTGCGATCTGTAAAACGGAGGGTTTCTGCCAAGATTAGTTTGAAGGCGAATGTTGACCAGCACTAAATACTAGGTATGACTTGGGGGAAAGAAGGAAATGAAGCAGGGAGAGGGCTACTTTACATTAAGTCCTTATCAGTGGAGGATACCTGTTTTGGGTGGCAGGAAGAGAATTTGGAGAGTCATCTAATTAGGGAATGGTGAGTTACAGGGAATGGGAAAGAAGTAGAATAGGTAAAGGCTGGGGAACAAGAGCTAAATTTTCAGAAAGGGCCCATGATTTTGTGTGCCTCCAAAATTGTCTAGTTTCAGTGCCTTAAACAAACCTTATTGTTCATGAACAAGGTGCTAAGCTTCTCCAAAATCGCATCTTTCAAAATATCTGAAGCTGGCAAAAATTACTAGTCACACTTGAAAATTCAGGCTTAGCTTCTTTCTATGAAAGCCAAAGGGAAGCTGAAAGCCATCTAAGCTCCTTTCAAAGAAGCTTTGAGTGAAAAGATCTTCAGTGTTTCTTATTAGACTTCCAATATTGGCAAAGGGGACGTGCTTCTCAAAGTATCCTATGTGTACCCTTAAAGGCAAATGTAGTTCCTAGATTAACTGTGCTTAGAATGTATTTGAAAGTCGATCATTGGGAGGGCTTTTATGCTTTGCCCTAAAAACAACTATCAATGCAGTGTTATCTGTAGCTTTAATTGCCATAGGAATCCCAGACTGACAATAATTCTGAAAACAACACTTTTTACAGTACAAAATAAAATTAAAAATATCTCAGTCTAAGATGATACACATCTTTGGGGACCCCCCCATCTTCAAATGTAATAAACATTACTTTTATATTCTTAATAGTTAAACAACTTTTGTCCAGGCAGGCATTAATATATCACTAATTGGTTTGCCACATAGCAAATTACAGTGTATGGCTTGTTTCATACCTGTAAATTCATCTATGGGAATAGCTCATTGTTTTGAACAAATATTCCAGAATAAGATGTGTATGGATTTATTTTTTTATGTTTGTTTGGTTTTGTTTTTTTTCTTTACCGGCTTGCTGCAAAAAGTAATTGTAATGGGGTTCTCTAGTATGTAGTTAGGATGTCCAGAAATACATCTCTTAATATTTGGCAAGTAAATAACTTTTGAACCACACATACACCACATCGTGTCTCCCAATGTATTTCAGCTGTTTAAAATTATGGATAGGAGTTAAATATAAGCAACAGACTAAAAAAAAAAAAGCACTTTTATACACAAGCATTATATACAAGCACATTGTAGCTTATCCCATGTATTTAAGACTCATAAATTGTGATTCAGTCATTCATGTCACCATGTGTGTGAAG